GGAAATTGGGATTAAAATGAAACAGAAAAAGGAGGCTTACGATAAATGTCAGGTTCAAAATACACACTCAAGAACCAAGCAGAATACAGAAAATGCAGAGGAGAACTGAAAAAAGAAATAAGAGGGGAAAAGAGAGCGTATGAAAAAAGTTTAGCAGGTAACATAAAAGGGAACACTAAAGTAAACATATAAAGTGTAAAAGGATAGTCAAAAGAAGGGTGGGGCCGATTAGGGACCAAAATGGAAAACGTCTCGTGGAGGCCGAGGACATGACTGTAGTACTGAATGAATATTTTGCATCTGTCTTCACAAAAGAGGATGTTGTCAATGTCACAGCAAAGGAGAAGGTAGAGAAATTGGATAGAATAAAAATAGATACAGAGGAGGTACTCTAAAAATTTAGCAATGCTCAAAGAAGAAAAGTCACTCGGTCCGGATGGGATGCATCCTAGGTTGCTGAGAGAAGTTAAGGTGGAAATAGCGGAGGCTCTGGCTACAATCTTTCAATCCTCCTTGGATATGGGAGTAGTCCTGAGGACAGGAGGGTTGCAAATGTTACACCCCTGTTCAAAAAAGTGGAGAGGGATAAACCTGGTAACTATAGGTCAGGCTGCCTATATATATATATATTGTCGGTGGTGGGGAAGCCTCTAGAGACCATAATCTGGGACAAAATTTAATTTTGAAAAACATAACTTAATTAATGACAGACAACATAGATTTGTTAAAGGCAAATTGTGTCTGAGAAACTTAATTGAGTTCTTTGATGAAATAACGGAGAAGATTGTTGAAGGTAGTGAGGTTGATGTAGTGTATATGGACTTTCAGAAGGTGTTTGATAAGGTGCCACATAATAGACTAGTTCGCAAAATTGAAGCCCATGGGATAAATGGAGTCCTGTAGCTCAGTGGTTAGAGCACTCGCTTTGCAAGCGAGAGACCTGAGTTCAATTCCAGGCAGGGCAAAACCTTGGGCAAGTTTCCTTACTCCACATGCCTAATAATAATCCCTCCAAAACCAAAAACAATAATAAATTGGTCATTTTCAATCTACGACTGTTTGTGGGACATTGCTGTGCGCAATTGGCTGCCGCGTTCGCCCACAAATATACAGTCAATTCACTTTACAGTGTGTTCTGTGAAGCGCTTTGGGACGTCCTCCCGACGTGAAAAGCGCTGTATCAAATGCAAGGATTATTATTATTATTATTATAAAAGGGATAATGGCAACATGGACACAAAATTTGCTGCAAGAAAGAAAGCAGAGGGTAGTGGTGAATGGTCGTTCTTCAGACTGGAGGGAAGTATAAAGTGGTGTCCCCCAGGAGTCAGTATTAGGTCCACTGCTTTTTTTGACATACATAAATGACTTGGACTTGGGTATAGAGAGCAAAATTTTAAAGTTTGCAGATGACACAAAACTTAGGAACGTAGTAAACAGTGCAGAGGATAATAACAGGCTGCAGGAGGACATAGACAGGCTGCTGAAATGGGCAGAAACATGGTAGAAAAAGTTTAATGCAGAGAAGTGTTAGGTGATGCATTTTAGAAAGAAGAATGAGGAGAGGCAATATACAATAAATGGTACAGTTTTAAAAGGGGTTCAGGAGCAGAGAGACCTGAACACAAGGGGTTCACATACACAGATCTTCGAAGGTGGCAGGACAGGCTGATAGAGCCGTTTAAAAAAAGCATATGAGATCCTTGGCACAATGGGCCAAATGGCCGCCTCCTGTGCTGGCATATTCTATGATTCTAACATTATGAAACTATATGGGGGGGAAGACCTAACTATATGAAAATTTTAAAACATTTGCAGATGGCATGGGTTAAATTGTTTGATTTCAGCCAGGCTGCTGCCTGTGGGGGGGTATAATTGACCTCAGCATCCCTATGTTAAAAAGCCAGGCATCCTGCTAGGAACTGTATACTTGCAGATGTGAGGTAAGAATAGGATAGTGTTTGGGCTATGAAGTTTCAAATAACCTGTTAACACTTAAGGACAATTCTCTGATCTGTAAATTCAAAGTTCACAATGTCAACTTCAATACATTTATCAGTTATTAGAGAAACATATCTTTTATGTTTAGACTTGTGCATAAAGAGTGTCTGCTTAGTTGAGATAGCAGAGTGGAACCATTCCACAACATACGTTGCCACTTTTAACGGAAGAATATTGAAGATGTATTTCAAACAAAAGTTATGTTTTGGCAGTAGTGTGACACAATAAGTTAAAAATAAAGCTTACATTTGTTATTTATCATGTCACACTACTGCCAAAACATTTTTTTTAAATATCTCCTCAATTTGTTTCCCCAAATAAAAAAAAACTTGCATTTGATATATCACATCAAATGTCTCAAAGCGCTTCAGAGAATATACTGTAAAGTAAATTCCAGAAATAATTTAAGCTTATGAAATCAATACTTTATTATTTCATCTACCTTCTCAGAACCTTATGCAATATCTTTACAGGATATTTTTTTGAAGCGCTTTGAGACGTCTAGAAGGCGTGAAAAGCACTATATCAAATGCAAGAATTATTATTATTATAAAGTGTAGTGACTTTGTAACTTGTGGATGAAACACGACAGCCAATTTGTAGACAGCAATATCCCACAAACATCCATGGAATGAATGACCAAATTTGTTTTGGAGATTGTTGGCCAAAATAATCACTGGAGGAAACTCTCTTTTCTGTTTTCAAATAGTACCATGGGATTTTTAATGTCCTCTGGGCAGGCAGACAAGATCTCGGTTTAATCAGTATTTTTGTGTTTCTTGTACCACAAACAAATGAGTTGAACTTGCTTTGTGCTACTTCTTTGTGGTGCTAAAAGTATTAATTTTAGCTCCATTGTTGTTTCACCCCCAAATTTATATAGAAAAAGAAGGAAGATTGAGAGCACAGTGGGGTTCACATGGGCCTTTTTTTGAATCCTCGGTTTGGATCCAAGCCAACTGATGAGCTGAATGTCAACTCACTCTATTGGCTTTACAGGTTCCATTGGCCTGAAATTTACTTTGTCTTAATTTTATCTTAAAATGGAAAAGTCTTTGCTCTATTCTCAATTTGAAAGCCATTTGTAATTAAGAACTGCAGGAAACCGGGTTCCAAATTGAAACTGAATTTTAAGAATTTTTTACAATTCTGAACAATCCATGCTAAGACTTAAATGAAATTCTGCAATCAATTTGTGAGTGGAATACAGGAAATATAACCTCAACATACATCTTACTAGTTATGGGTATCACAGCCCAAACTGTAATTCACTACTCATGCAGGGGACCATGTGATAGAGGGATGAAACACAAAATGGAATTGAGCAGAAGGGTACTCCACTGAGGTTTGGGGCTGATGGATAATTGTTGGAGCAGAGTGAGAGAGTTTTAATCTAGATCCAGAGCAATCAACCTGGCTCAGTTGGTAGCACTCTCACCTCTGAGTTAGAAGGTTGTGGGTTCAAGCCCCACATTGAGACTTTGAACTCATATAGTCTGGGCTGATACTCCTGTACAGTACTGGGCATATTGCATTCTTGGAGCTGTTGTACTTGGATGAGACATTAAACCGAGTCCCAAGCTGCCTGTTGTAATAGAAATTGAAGATCCCATGGCACGATTCGAAAAGAGAAATGAGTTTCTCCTCATGTACTGGCCAGCAATCCTCAAGATAAAATCAAGCATTTGATGGCTGTTTATAGAATACTGCTGTAAACTAATTGGCTGCCACATTTGCTTACAAATACAGTCACAACACGTAACAGTATATCTTGTGGGAGTGTGTTGAGATAACCACCTGACATGAAAGGCGCTATATCAAATGCAAGGATTATTTATTATAGATGTACTATCTCTGACCTGGAAGTGCTTGATGTTGACATTGAGTGCCAAAAAACAGAAAAGTGTTTTGCTTGCCAACATCAACTTTGCTCAATTTGATGTACATAAAATTCAGGAAAAGACCATAAAAAAGGAAATAAAAGCTATAAGCTCTGTTGACTCAGTGTGTTGAAAATCTAAAGCCATGGTCACGGAATGATGAGACACGAGTCCTGATCATACCTGCGGCACTGGAGCACTTTCAAGCATAGACCATAATAATAATGATTGTATCCAATACAGCACCTGCAAAGTCAAAACCAGGCAACTGCTGTTAAGTGTAGTGTCTGTGAATATGTTGATAAATGTGATAGCAAACATGCACATAGCAATGTCTCACAAACAGCCGATAAATTGATTTGTAAGTTTATCCAGAGGATTGTTTTTTGCATAGTGTGATGGGATCTGTATTGTGCACTCAAGCAGGCAGATGGGACTTTGGATTAACGTTCATCTTAATGACAGCACCTCAAAAAATGCAGCAGTCCCCCCCGTCAACCCCCTTCCTGTAATGTCAGCCTGGACTGTGAGCAGGTCCCAATATAGAGCTTCAACACACAACTTTCTGCCCAAGAAGCCGGAGTGGCTTTCCAACTGAGCCAAGCTGGTGCCATGCAAAATGATGTCTGGTTACAGAGTGGCATTGGTCAAGACATTTCTGCTCACCTTCCTAGACAGAGCTGGTGAGCTACTGAGGAGGCCAAAGGAAGGGGAAGAGGACATAAACAGTTTCTTTTTTTAAAAAAGACAGCGTTACTTTCAACAGCAATAACATAAATGTATCTGTTAGAAGCGGAATAAAAATTAAAATGTGATGCGAATATTTGAATTTTACATCCTTATAGACTCCTTTGAAGATGATCTTTAATGAAATCACTTCAAGAATAACATATGGCCTTCCTGTCCCTGACACAAATGCTTGCCAGAACAGGAAGCTGTGGGCCCTGTAGTGTTATATTCCTTACCCAAGATGAATACAGACAAGCTGAAGATATGCTTCAAATTGTCCAGTCATCTTTCTCCACCTCCTTACCTACCTTCCACAAATGGTAGTCCTTCAAGAGGGGAATGAAAGAAGAGAAAAAGAGCAGAATGCATTAAGTTAAAAACAGCTCATACCCTGGGCTAACGTTAGACTTTTCAAAGTAAGGGAATGTTCCCAATCCTTCAGCCTCAGGTCCTCTGTGACATTGTTCAGTATGGCTACCTCATTTTTCAGCTGTTTCTCCATTATACTCTGAATGGCCTTCAACATCCTTGCATCTTCCGATACATTTGCTAATTGCATTCGAAGCTGATGAATGCTTGTGTGGTGGCTGCTAATGTCCTCTGTGTGGGTGCCATTGACTGTACTGAGCGACCCGCATACCTCCTTTACCTGTTCAGTCAGATTTCCTACATTTGTTGTTATCTGTTTCAGGATTGTCTGCTGGTGCTGGAGTGCAAACTGTGCACTGTTTAAACCTGTAGACAAATTGTATGTCTCTTGCCTGTCTGTTGAACGAAACTCCTGTAAGTCGTCTTCTAAATCACTCACAGATGTGTTTATGTTGTCAGTCTGATCCTCCAAGATCTGTAACTTGTTTTCTAGTCTCCAAACAGACTCTCTCAGCTGAAGCAATAGGACTGAGTGGTTCTGGAAAAGTTCATGAAGTTTCAAAATATTATCCATGACATCCCCCCTGCGTGCCTTCTGCTCCACAGTTTGATGCATATCTCTGAAGCCTTCGCTTAGCACTGTAACATTATCTGTCAATATTTTCCAATCTGCAGTCAGGCTTTGATATTTCGGAACTGAAAGATATTAAGCAAAAGTTGTGTCAATACATTGCCCAAGCTTTTGATCTCAAGTATTTTACATTGTACTACTTGCCAAATCATGTTATGCTTGGAGAAGGTTTACATCTTGGATTAGAATTTCATTAGTAGCTGATTTACAAGTCTTTATCCATCAATCTATTTAAACATAAAACTCAGTAATTGAAACAAAAATACAACAGAAATTAGACTTCCAAAGGTGCTGTTGACTCCAGGAACTGATCGAATTCAGTTATGTCTGGATTATTAAAATATGGATAATGGACGAACATTTTATTCCTTCAATAAATCTGTTGAGTTCAATAGAAAGTAGAGTCAATGGTTTGGTACACTAGATGAGAAATATGTTTGGATTTAGTGTATGTTGTTTGGGGTGTTGTTGAACAGAAATAGACACAAATGTATATCGTTCAAAGCACATTATCTGTTATGGATAGCAATAATTCAGGCTACAAAGTTTACTGGTTTATTTGCATTGGAGTGTCGGCAGAATATAATTTAAAGTTCCAAGTGCCAACATTGCCAGCTTATGGCTTGAACTCATGATCTTCGGAGTCAGAGTGCTGCTAACTAAGTTAGGCTGACCCTAATGTTTTCTCCTGAAAACTGTGTCTTTCGCTGGAATATGGTTCCAAAGATTTTTATTATCATGTGTGAACTGAGACATTATTGAATTTCAGTGGGCTATTTCACTGGTGAATTACCATTGCTCCTCAAACCAAATCAAAGATGATAAGAAACAGCAGAATTTCAGTTCATAATTATTAACTGGTTTCTAATTTGAACACTCCCCCTTATCTACCAGCCCCTGACTTCAGCATAATGGTTTGGTCCAAAGCCACTTTTTTGAAAATGATTCAGTTGCCACCTTGAATCACCATTCAATGATAATGGAATAAAAATATTTTTCATCAACCCGCGAGATCTGCTTCACAGGACACCAACTGAATTAAGCCAATATCCTATATTTTGCTGCATTAAAACACACTATCCACTATGATACAGAATGCAGTCATCTTTGGGCCCAACCATTGCGCTGAAGCTGAGTGAGTGTTGGTGTTTAGAATCAAAATTACTCAGCAATTATCAAATAAAATTTCACTGTTACTCAACAAATTCATTGCGATAATTATATTATACCCTCTGGAACAAAACATCAGATTTTTTACTCTTGCCTCTTTTAATTTGCATTCTGTATCAATGAGCTATTGCAGTCAAAATACCTTATTTGATTTATTCACCGCAGTCAAACAATAAACTGGTTTCAATGAGTTCCCCTTCCTCCCCCCCCCGGCCCCCCTTAGTTGAAGCTAAAATCTTCCAAATCAAGTTGCTTTGTCTTCCATTATTTGCTCAGCTCCACCTCCCAATTTTAGTATTAATATTTGATTTACTTTATCATTTAAGAATTAAATGGGGAATTCTGTTTGCATATATAGAAAGCCATATGAGTTGAATATTTGTGAAACAAATATTTGTGATTTCTGAATGATGGTAACGGGCAAGAAAACCACCTAGCTGTATTATTTACACTTCGCTTTCAAAAACTACATTTAAGCAATTTGCAAACATTACAATACAATATAAAACAATTTACAGGTGTATATAGCACCTTTCACGTTACCAGGACAAATATTGCAAAATAGATACTTTTGATATTCATTAACTTCGAATCCCATTCACAATATTGCAAATTAGACTACTGTAGAGAGCAACCACTTATCAAATGCAAGGATTATTATTATTACATAAGATGTTCCATTATTGTATTTCATTCAGAAATTATAGAGAAGAAAGCTATGTAGTTCCATATTCCTTCGGAGTTAACATGAGATATTGGCAAAAACGGTGGGAAGAATCAAAAGACATCACAATGTGACAGAAGGCCAGTGAGGAAAACATCCCATAGCCACCTGGTTTACTGTTTTTGGAAGCTTCTGAAAATTGCTAATCTCAATCCAAACATCAAGGACCCAATTTCAGTTCCAAATCATCCAAGGAATCTTAAATGAATACTTTTCATCCCTTTGCAAATACTTTATAAATATCGCAGATTAGATCCCATTATCCATAACATGATTTATCGACGCATTTACAAGATTATGGATTCAACAGTTTGGGAGAGTCCTTCTCCCACAAGACTTGGGTACAACTCAACAGAAGCCTCAGGTGATCCAAATTAGGTAACTTTCATCATGAGTAACCATGCTCTATTTAACTCTCAACAAAAAAACTGCATTTGTTTATCGCCCTTTACGTTGGGCAGCCTTTCGGAACCTTAACAGTGGCTGAGCTCAATGCCGAGCCTGGGAGAGGGAGGAGGTGAAGTAAGCACAATCGAAGAGGAAGGTCTTCAGCCGTGACCTAAAAGAGGAGGAGGGGGCAAGGTGGAGGGATTGAGGGAGAGAATTGCAATGCTTCAGGGGGTAGTGGCTTAAAGCACAGCTACTGATGGTGTAGAGGCGGGGCTGAGGGACAAGCAGGAGGCTGAAGCCAATGGAACAGAGGCAGCAGGTAGTCGGAAAGGTAAGGAGGTGCAAGGGCGTGAAGGGATTTGTAGATGAGCGAGAGGATTTCAGAGCTCTAAATCTTTACTGCCAAATGCAGATGGAGCAAAAGGTTTCAGTAGCTACCTTGTTATATCTAGAGTGATTTTATTACTGTAAGCTCAACCTTACTACTTCAAGTAAGCAAATAAGCATTTGTAATCATTTAACGTAAAAAATTCCAGTGCACAATTCTGCTCATCCTTTAGTCTTTTCATTTGGATTCTTTTGGTCTCATTTTCACTTTATAACTTTATCTTTCCTTGTTTTTACAACCTTTAATCTATTTTATGGATGACTATCTACAGGAAGGTCATTCCTAGAGTTGTTGGCAAGCTAAGTGTTAAGAAAACAATCAATCTATATGGGTTCTAAACTTTACTTTGTTTTACAATATGGTCAGGTGCCAGTTATCTTCCAGCCGTGTTTCTGTTATAACAGGGAAATCCCATTATAAGTCCTCACTGCCAAGATTGAACTTTACCCAGGTTTGCATAGCTTATTTTCACATTGGCCAGAGACTATACCAACAGAGCCATTGGGGATGACAAACTATTTTACATATCATTGTTCAACATGGTTATGGATTATAAGCATCTGGCCCCAAAATAGCCTTAAAACAATCAGCATTGGTTTATGTTGGAAAGTGCTCAGTTAGTTAAAAGTGCATTAAGTATGTGTACATATTCAGCACATTCAGCTGTTGCCAATTTGAAGGATTCATGTAGAGTTGAAGATTTGTGCTTTTCTCAAGCCTTAGATCTGCCTACATTTTACAATTTCAACATCTGTTCCTTAAAGAAATATACAGGAAATTGTTTAAGTTTCTGGCTCAGTGACCACTGGACGGTCAAAATGTTTTTAAGACATGATTAAAGCTAAAATTTATGGGTTCACGACCTTGCTGGTAACACTCGTCATTTGTTGCTTGCTGTTCAGCATTCTGGTTTGGCCATGGCAGTACACATTGGAGTAAACATATTTGGAGCCAGTACTGAGCAGCTGAACATATAGAACTGGAACAGTTAGCTAGTGCTAACCGAGAAAGCCACAAAACGTGACTTTCAATTCATTTATTTTACAACTAATTTGGTTCTCGAGTAGCAAACAAGCTAAAATCACTAACTGCATGACAGTGAGTGAAATAATGCCAAGTTCAATGTATCAAGATGTGTGATAGTACACTTTGGATGTAAAAATAGTGGATGCAAATATTTTAAAAATAAATTCAATTAAAACAATAATAATCCTTGCATTTGATGTAGAACTTTATCATGTCATTGAAACTTCTCAAAGCACTTCACAGGATTTTCTGTAAAGTGTAGTGACTGTATTTGTAGGTGAACACAGCAGTTAATTTGCGCTCAACAATGTCTTACAAACTGCCGTGACATGAATGATCAATTTCCACCAGGAGAATCAAATACATATTATCAGTGCTCACTCTGATTACCATGCACTTCAAAGCAAAAACAATAACTATTGTAATTTTGGAAGGTAGACTATTTTCCAGTATTTTTTATTATCATAGCAGTTTACATCATAAGGATTTTATCCATGCAAATTGAGACTTCTCAGAACTCCATTGCCAGATGCCTCCAAATTTCTTCATCAGGTTATTTTTAGTCGTTACTGTGTTACATAGAACATGCAAAAATATACTTTGAAGCTTGACTAAACTTTGCAAGTTTATATGTCTTGTAAACTTTTTGATCTCAATATAGCAAACTGCCCATGTCCTCACCCGCATCAAACTTTACATTCCCATTACCCAGTCCTTTCCAGGGTACACTGGCTCCCTATTGCAGAACACATCAATTTCAAGATTCTAACACTTGTTTACAAATCACTTCAAGTCCTGGCACCTCCCTACCTCTTCAAACTACTTGCATCCCATTCTATCACCCACCACCTCCACTCAGCTGGCTCCAGCCTACTGCATGTCCCTCGTCTGATCCCTTCCCCCCCCACCCCACCATCAGTGGCCGTGCTTTCAGCAATTGCGCCTCAAAACTTGCCTCCTCCTTCCCCAACTTCAGATTACACTTGAAGACCCTCTTCTTCAACCGTGCCTATATGCAGTCAATTCACTTTACAATATATTCTGTGAAGCGCTAAGAGATGCCTCAGAGACGCGATAAGATGCTATATCAAATGCAAGGATTATTATTATTTTTATTATTATGCCTATGGTCACCTCCCCACTCAGTGTCAAACTCCACTACTCCTAAATGCTCCAAGATGCTATCCCCTATGAAGGGCGCCATATTAATGCAAGTGTTGTTGTTGGATAGCGCCATGAGATATTCAATGTCCTCCTGACCTGGCACCTCAGCTTAATCTCTCATCTGAAGACAAGCAACTCTGACAATGCAGTGTTCCCCCAGCACTGCATTGGAGTGTCAACCTGGACTATATAGTTCTGGTCCC